GCCGGGGGTATTTTTCTCATCTATGTACTTAATCTGCCTTTAAAATAATCGTCTCCTAGTCATTGTAAATAGTAAAGTTGGGACATTAACATGATTTTTTTCTCATAACTAAAGCAATGCTTGTGTATTATAGGAAAATTAGAAATATAGATTAGTAAAAAGAAAAAATTAAACACAATAATACCGAGACCTTTTCCTATCAAACAGCATATGTTATAGGCTTATAAAAATATGATAAAATTCCCACTGCAATAATTCAGGTAATATAGAAGCTTTGTAAAGATAACAGTTCCTCACTGGCCACTCCTCCAGTCTGACGCTTGTGTGAGGGGATGTCATGTTCTCTTCTGTGTCATGTATACATGTGGCTATGCAGATACACATTCACTCTTTGTAAAAACAATTACATTAGTTCTGTGTCCATGTTTCTTTGAAGGTTAACTCGCATCACTCTGGATCATTACCCAGAACCGTGTTGACTGTGGGGGAGAATGCTGTGTTCCGGAAAGAGCAACATGTGGACAAAACTTTAATGGACCCTGACATTAAATGCTGAGGCTCTTTAATAAAGTACACACATATTTTATCCCAAGTTTATAATGGTGGTCTGAGCAAGGCACCTATAAAGAAATCAGCATTTACGACCAGAAGAAAAATAATCTGGTCTTGGACTTTTATTTTTATATGGAAAAGCTGTAAAGACTTAGATAACTAAGTCTACTCACAAAGAAAAACGTGAAATCATTGTTGGCTCAAGGAAAGTCTGACAATAAAAATATTAGCTAAAATATATGTGTTTTATTTATTTAATGATATGTCATGGATACTTTGCCATAGCAACACAAATGGATTCAATGCATTATTTTTAATAACTGTATCATATTCCATAGTGTGGACATCCCTTAACTTACTCGACTCATTCCCCCGTTGACAGGTATTCAGGTTGTTTCCAGTATTTTTCCTCTTATAAATAATTCTACATAAACATTTTCATATGTATATCGTTTAATGATGCTTCATAATGCAGTATTTTTAAAGGTTCAATTACTTTTTATTTACAAACCAAACGTGTTTGATGGACAGAGCCTTACAGCCCACTGTGGGGGGGCGCCGGCCATGCACACATCTGCACTGCTGTTAGGTTATGAGTCTCTTGGCGGCAGATGCCATCCTAGCTGAAGGCAACGCCTGTGTGTAAAAGAAGCTCAAAGAAACCTTGACTGGACTTGGACAATTTGTCTAAAAATAAAAGGCAGAGCCCAGTATTTGCCTTTCAAGCCCTATTATAAGATATAACGAAATACAGTTATTAAGGAAATTTTGAGAAAAGATAGTAACGTAATATAATCACATGTGGTCTGTATCATTTTTGGTGTTAGGGACCTTTTCCTTTACTTCCAGAACAGGGGTCAGCAAACTTTTTCTCCGTAAAGGGCCATTTGGTAAGTATTTGAGGTTGTGCCAGCCGTAAGATCTCTGTTATAATTACTCAACTAGACCATGGTAGTGTGAAGCAGCCATAGATGGTGAGTAAGCCAGTGAGCGTGGCTGAGCTCTAGTAATACTGCCTTTACAAAGACAGGCAACGGGCAGGGCTGGCCTTGTGGGCTGGAGATTGCCAACTCCTGTTCTAGACGGTGCCCAGCTACATTTAGACTAACCTGATGTAAATTCAAATTCTGGCCCTTCTCCTTTGGCTCTTCTGCTTACTGTAGGACTCTGGGCAAGCTACTTACCCCCTCCGTCTTTTTCAACACGAAAACAGAAGATTAATATTACCTCCTTCACGTTAGGCACCTGGTTTAGGGCCTACGGTTTCCTGAGCACAGAGATGGCAGCCACTCGTTTGCCTTGTCAAAAGTAGGGGAGCATAGGGAGAGGGGCAGAAATCACGCAGCCCCTTTTCAAGGGGGAGTAGCAAAATCCTGAGGAAAAGGCAAGCAGAAGAACAACGGATGGCAGAGGCTCGGGGTGACGGTGGCAGGTCTCACAGCAGAAGCAGTGACCCTCTCAGTCCTGTGCCCTCCTCCAGAGGAGGAGTCAGGGCAGACAGACAGAGGGGGAGCTGACGCCTGCTCATAAGAGATGCTGAGGACGGGTCGAGCACCTGGAGCTGTGGTGACTGTGAAAGGTAGGGAGGGGTCAGGCTTCAAGAGGAATTATTGGTGAACTGGTAAGACCTGCGGATTTCAATGGTATTATCTTTTTAGCTAAAATACAAGTGAATATTAGTCTTTGGCACATTACTGGCCTAATTGTCTCCAAACATTTCAACTGACTCTTTGCAGTAGATTCTTTCAAGATGCCACATTTCAGTGGCTTTTTCCACTTCTCTCAAGATAAAGCCCAAATGCTTGAGCACAGTGTGCAAGCACTCCACAGCTTGCCTCTGCCTTATTCTTTTAGCCTCATTATTTACCTATCTATCTGTCTATCTATCTATCTGTTTATTTTTATTGAGGTATCATTGGTCTATAGCATTATCGAAGTTAACATGGTTAAAATGTCCCTATTTCCTAAAGCCATCTGCAGGTTCAGTGCAGTCCCTATGGAAGTCCTAGGCTCCCTTTCGATCCTTCCTTTCCTGGCACAGTGCAGCTGCTTCAGCCAAAAAAGTTGATTAGCTTATTCAAGTCCCTAAAACACTTCTTTTGCTTAGGCTCGCTGTGTTCCAGTTCCTGCTTTTCTCTCATCCTAATTTCCTAGGCCTTTACAAACCCATCAGTCATCCACATCCCCATTCTTTCAAGACCAGACCGCCTGCATCCTCTGCAAAACTCCCCGACTAGCCTGGCACCCAGCCGTATCCTCCCTCCAGCCTCCAGGATCATCATTATTACTACAATAACTCCCCTCCTTTCGCTCTACCTGTGACACCTCCTCCTCCACGCTGTCTGTAGATGCTCAGTAAACCCTGTGCTACTGGAGGATGATGGGTAGAGCAGAAGGAAATCTGGATTTGGAGTCCAGCTCCTCCATCCTCTCCCTGTGTGTCCAAGATGGGCTAGCGGTTTAACATCTCTGAGCCTCAATTTCTTTCTTTATAACAGGGATCCTCTTCCTACCTCATAGAATTTGTGTGAGAATGAAATGAGGTTAAATGAAATCAAAGATCTGAGAATCCTTAGAAGGTACCTACCTCACTCAGGAAACGTAACTGAATCTGAATTGTTTACAGAGTTTGACTTGGGGTATCTCCCTCGTGATGCAATAATTTGAAAGCAAGAACTATATCGAAATATATCTATGATTAATTGCAGTGCCTAGCACGTTTTTAAAAAGCCACTCAGTAAATTTATCGGATTTATTTTTAAATTGCTTTTTAAAATTCCCATCAAAGTTGTATAAGGCATACTAGCTTCTATTTTTTAATTTTGTAAGAGAGAATCAAGATCTCCATCAGCATTTATTACAGAGGATGCTTTAAGATGCTTTGAAATCAACTCGGTTTCATAAAATTTGTAAAGTTTTGGGGAAAATACCCACGGATTTGCCAAAAATATGTAAGCAGAGCTAAAATTGTTCTTTTTTCTCCCATCTTATTCTTTGCAAAATGACTACAAACCGCACACGTTGTGCCTCCGGCGTTCCATGTCCACCAGCTGCTCACTACTGAAGTTTGAGCCCTCTTTCTGTTGTTAATATTCTTTCCTACAAGAACGTAAGTGAATCCTGATGCCATATATGTTATTGAACATAATGAAAACTAAGCATATTGAATTAATTAAAGTGTCCACACATTTTCATGCATGGCCACGGTGCCTTAGAGTTTGTATACTACTTTATAATACATCATTGCACTTGTTGTTCAGGACAAATCCTATAAGGAAGCACATCTCCGTTTTGCAGATTAGGAAGCGGAGACCTCTAGAGTTTGAAGACGCACTCTGGCTCACAAACCTAGGGCACTGGTACTCAGACTCGGACCCAGGTCTGCCGGCACTGAGCATATTGGCGCCACAGGTGACTAAACATCCGGAAGTAGGATGCTCCACAGTAGCTGCAGAGGACCTCCTTTTAAGGTCAGAGGTGGGATCTCAATAGAAATTCTTTCCCAATTTCTTGCTTTTTTGATGAAAAAGCACTCAATGGTTAAAAAATATCTGATAAATAGACTGTATTTTTACCATGACATACATATTTATAGAACCTATAGATAAAATGATGTACAAGCTATGTACAAGTCACTTAGGTTTCTACGTAAGGTTTTGGGGACTGAATCAGTTTGCTCATCCAAAACAGAGATTGAAACAGTACTGCGTGCCCAACCTCCAGGCTCACCAGTGAGGGTGAAATGAGAGCGCTCCCGTCCAAGTGCCATCAGAAACTATATTTGCAAAGCAAGGTATTATAATTTTCATTAAAATAAGTATTACGGATAAATTCATCAACTATCTCAAGTTCTAGCTGCCTAAAATTAATTGCCAGGTAATTAGCAACACTGGGAAAGTTTCATTTTAGAGACCTCCACATCCATTACAAACTGTGAGCCTCAGGTTTTAATAAAGTTCCCCAATGAAAGAGTTACAAATTCAGTCCTCACTACATACTGGAGCATTTTGAAAGCTAATTAACTCTCTGACATTCAACAGTGTAACTAAATTACTTTATTCAGTTGTTTGAGCACATGTCTGTAATCTTCTGATTAAAATTAGTGCTGAAATCATCAGGAGCGATTATTATTTACCCCCCCACCCCACCGTGGCTACCACCCCACAGGCTCCTCCTCAGAATCTGAAGACACTATTCTCCAGGGAGTTTTAGAAACTTCTGGCTATAATAGAATGTTGGGATGGGGGGACTTTCCAGGTTTTAAAGTTAGAATTTCCAAACAAAAGTGTTATTTTCTAAGTCTTAAATTGAAGAAGAATTGTAATAAGGCTCCACGCAGCAAAACACCCGCTGATTCACTCCTGTCCGCCCTGTGGTTCTGGTTTGAATTGTGCTGCCACCACGCTGTACTCCTCGAAACATGCTGAATCTGCGCTCTGTTTCTGTTTGCCCGACTTGTACAGCAGATCAGGTGTTTGACAATCAAAGGAGAAGAAGCTACGGACTTGGATAATCTCTTCAGAGGTAAAAACACACATTAGCAAAAACACAGACCGTACTTTTTGCTGTGAAGAATGTCGTGCTTGTTTGGTTGGTTGGTTGATCATTCCAGTAGCGATGTTGGAAGGAACCTGCCTGGACGTCAAGAGGCTTGTGTTCCGTCCCGACCCTGCGAGTAGTGTTCTGTTGCTTCACTGCTCTAACCCTTAATTTCCTTACTTTTCAAGTGAAATGACTAGACTCTGTAATCTCTGTGATCCTCACTCATGACAGAAAAAACCTAAACCCGTCAAAGTGAAAGCCTAAGTGGTAGAACCTCTCCCAGCCGTCTGCGTGGAGGGAACCAGAACCGTCTCTTTGCATTTTTGTAAGTTGCGGGACCAGAAATGTTAAGACAGACTATTGGAAAAAAGTCAACCATTACAAGATGAAGGATCACTGGGGCCAGCCCATGGCCTGGTGGTTGAGTTCAGTGTGCTCCACTTTGGCAGCCTGGGTTCTTGGGTTTGGATCCTGGGCACAGACCTACCCCACTCATTGGCCATGCTGTAGTGGCAACCCGCATACAAAATAGAGGAAGATTGATGCAGATGTTAGCGCAGGGCAAATCTTCATCAGCAAAAGAAAAAAAAAGCTGGGGGATTATTAGCTTAAAGGAATAAGAATTGCACGTTTTCATTTAATTGTGTTTCTTTCCAACCAAGTCTCAATATAGACAGAATTTCATCTATAGTTTTGAGATTATATTGTAGCAAGCTGAGGAATAAATTCCCCCCTGGTGTGTGAATTTGGTGCAATGAGTTTTATTTGGTCAATGACAACACTGGTGATGTGTAGTTAGTGCCTTGATGTCTTCAGCCCTAGTAGGTCTGTATGTGCGCACCCCCCAGAACGCAGTAGGATACCTGTTTATCTTCTGGAGGAGGAGAAAATTAGTGAGTATTCTGCTGACTTGGCCAAAACTGCAACCAATTAGCACAGTTTGGCAGCACTGCGCGTCCTCTGTAGTACGATTGCCCGTTCACCTTTCTTAAGGAAGAAGAGGCATCGAGCAAAAGGCTGTAACTTCTAGGAGCACAGGGAGCCTGCTCTTCCAGGCAGGCCCAGGCTCTGCTCGCCGGCCAGAGAGCTTCTGGCCTCATCTCAGCCACAAGGGGAGGAGGAATCCTTTCCTCAGAAAGTGGAGAGCAGGTAAGTTACTTTGGTTTTGTTCTGCATCTACACATGTCTCCCTAATCAGAAGAATTTCTACGTAATATAATGGGATCTGAACGTTGCTTTATTTATTGATTTACTTTTGGTGAGGAAGATTGGCCCTGAGCTAACATTTGTTGCCAATCTTCCTCTTTTTCTTCCTCTCCAAATCGCCAGTACTTAGCTGTATATCCTAGTTGTAAGTCCTTCTAGTTCTGCTTTGTGGGACGCCACCACAGCATGGCTTGATGAGTGGTGTGTAGGTCGTTGCCAGGGATCCAAACCGGTGAACCCCAGCTGCTGAAGCAGAGCGTGAGAACTTAACCACTCGGCCACGGGGCCGGCCCACTGAACATTGCTTTAAATAAAATAAATAACGGATACTTTGGAAACTGCTGCATACAAATTTTCTAATCCATTTTACCAAGCCTTCATTCTGTAAACCACATGTTTTGGAACTGTATAAGGAGCTCTAAAAAAGTGTCAGTGTTTTAATTCATATTTTGACACTTCTGAAAGTATCTCCACAGAGTAATTATGCGTATGTGCCTGTTAAAACATACGCAGTCAATTTTGTGGTTCACATAGTAAAAGTATTAATGAGGATCATCCTTATAAACATAGGAAAAAATATCTCTAGCAAAAATGCATTTGCATAATGCAAAAGATAAAATTTCTTCTAACTTGTTCAGTATGCACTTGTTCTCTTTTGCATCATTTATGAAAAATTTATAACCATATGTGTTTATTTGTTTGTATATTCACTGTGCTCTTTAATGTAAACATTTTGATTTTCTCACAGCAAAGGTCTGTGTTGACAGATAAGGGCAATAAAGACCTTTGAGTGCGTGTGGAGCACCCAGCCTGGTGCAGAGCACGCAGCTGCCTGGGGGCCCGGAGCACTTCTTTCTGAGAAAATGCCTTCAGAGATCCATCCTAGTCCAGGAAAAGTCACAGGATTTATGTGGTACCTGCTTTCTCTTCCAGCCTTTTGTCACCCAAAGTGGTCCTTCCTCGTATTGGACTAATCCTTGTTATTATAGTCAAGCTCATGTTGTCTGGTTCTAACTGGATGAGACAAAACAGAGAGAATAAATATGCTAATACTGTGACATTAAATGATTATTTCCTATTTCTCTTTTATTTATTTTGTTTTGTTTTGAGGAAGATTAGCCCTGAGCTAACATGTGCTGCCAATACCCCTCTTTTTGCTGAGGAAGACTGGCCCTGAGCTGACGTCTGTGCCCATCTGCCTCTACTCTATATGTGGGACCCCTCCCACAGCATGGCTTGCCAAGCAGTGCCATGTCCACACCAGGGATCTGAACCGGCGACCCCTAGGCCACTGAAGTGGAACATGTGAACTTAACCACTGTGCCACTGGGCAGGACCCTCTTTTATTTTTTGTGAATCTATAAATCTGAGCGTAATTTCTAAATCCTTACCTTTGTTTTTTGGTCTGGCCATAGGTTTGAATAAATGTCTCCTTAATTCATTAGGAGTTGGGGTGTTTTTTTTTTCTTTTTTTAGGAAAATAGGCTAAAATTTATTCTCCATTTCTCCATGTGGGAAAATAACATACTTTTGATTTTTAGAGATTGTGTACACATGCATATGCATGCACACACAGTTTCTATTTTTCAAATTGGAGTCTGTTTTCAAGTTTAACTTGGAAACAGCTTTATTTTCTAAATCGTTTTATTCACAGAGATATACTTGGCAGGTATAATAAAAAGTCTTTTAAATGCTACCCATTATTTTCAAGCATACTTCTTAGAAATTGCACATCTTTTCCTTTCCCATAATAATGTATAAAAATAAGATGGGGTGACAGAAATTTTTAATTCGTTTATAACAGTATAAATTGGTTGTGGAGAACAAGATTATCTAAAAGGATGTTGATGGTAAAACTGACAGAAGTAAGTTGGAGTCTGTCTTACTGATCTAAAGGTTTACACGTAAGCTTACTGAGTGTTACACCCAAGACTTGGCAAACGGGAATAATCCTTTGGGACTTTTGTTAGGTAAACAATGTGTGAACATACAGTTGACGTGTTTGGCGACACCCATGCCCCTTCTCTGGCTTGGGCTGGGCGTCTCTGTGGTGGCCTTTCAGGTTGTTACCTTTGCTCAGTGAGCGTTCACAGAGAACTGTGCAAAATCCACTCCTTTGAACACAAGTTGAGTGAGGCTAAGAAGGCGCATTTCATTAAGCATGAAGGACCTGCTCCTCTGAGTGGTCTGCCCTTCTGCCCCCAAAGGGACTCTGGAACCAGAGCAGCCAAAGCTCAGCTGCTCGGGACTGCAGAGAGGCGTCCCTGTCAGACTGCCACATCGCACCACCCCGGGGACAGCTTTGATCCTGTGGAATGTTCAGCTAGAAAACTGTTTCTTTTTTACTGTCGGTTATTTTTGGTCTCAAATGTGTAACCAATGCTCACTTTTTAAAAATCCAAAAATTTCATAAAGCAAAAAACGTTAGAGATAAACATTGTTAATAAATCCTTCATAGATTTATTTTGGATATAATAATTCATCTTTTTGTTTTCTGTACCAGTATAGAATCATATTATATTTGGTGATCTGCAATTTACTTTTTTTTTCCAGTTGCTAGTTTATCATGGCTGTCTTTCTAAGTCAGTGCATATACATCCGCTAGATTCTTTTCCCTTTTTTAGTAAAAATTATAGCCAAGTACCCAAGAGATCACACCCATTTAATCACCAAGAAATAGAAGCTGACTGGAAGCCCATCGCATGCCATCCAGTTGCCCCTCCTGCCGGGACAATCACTCTTCTGATTCTGCCACTGTCCTTCACTTTGTCCCTGTTTTGAAAGTTTTACAAATGAAGTCACACAGTGTGTATGTATGTCTGACTTCTTTTGCTAACATTATGTTTGTGAGATCCATCCAAATCATGGTTTACTTATTCTCAGTACTGAATATTATTCAATTTTGTGATAATGCCACAATTTATTTATTCATTTTATTTATTTACCCATTTTATTGTTGGTTGTTTTCAGTTTTGCCCTTTTATGAGTGGTGCCACTAGGAAGATTCTAGCACATCATTTAGTGGATATGTGTATGCATTTCTAAAGCATATACGCCTAAGAGTAGAATTTCTGGGTAACTGCGTTTGCAGATAACTCCGGGAGCTGGAGTCAAATGTTTGACAGAGTGCTTGCGCTGGTGCACTCCTCCCAGAGCGGTCTGGAGATGGCAGGTGCTCTGCATCCTTGCCGGCAGTTAGTTTTCGTCAGTCTCTAATTTTAGTCATTCTTTTGGGTTTATCGTAGTATTTAATTATGCTTTTAACTTTGCATTTCCAGAGGCCTAATGAGCTTGAATACGTTTACCTGTTTATTGGTTATTTGAATATCCTCTTTTGTGAAGTATCTTTCCTACTTGTCTTTTAGATTGTCTTTTTCTTATTGATATGTAAGAGTTCCTTATATCTGTAAATGAGTCCATTGTTGGATAGATGTATTGCAAATACCTTCTCCACTCTATGGTTTGCCTTTTCGCTCTCTTAATGGTGCCTGTGATGAATAGAAATTTCAAGTTTTAATATAGTCCATCAATCTTTTCTATTTTGCATGTTCATCAAGATATTCTTCTGTTCTTTATTCTGGAGTCTCTATTGTTTTTGTCTCTCATTTAGATCTACAACACACCTGGAAATTGTTTTTTATACATGATAAAACCTAGGGGTCAAGATTCACTTTTTGTGTGAATATTCAGTAGACCCAGCATCATTTATTTAAAAAAGCTTCCTTTCCCCTATCATTCATTGTAAGTCAAATGGCTATCACTGTCCTGCCTTAGTA